GTGTGTGTGTACCTGAGATAGGTGTGTAAAGGCTGTGACAGGTGTTTGTTCATCAGGCAGGGGTAACAGCTGGCTCATTTCACAGCTTGTTATATTAGTTAATGTTCAGCTGCTCATCAGTATGCCTGGTTATTTGGCAAAGTTGCTGTCTCTAAGATGAACTTTCCATCTCTATGTTCCTTAGATCGAACAACTCCAAGAATTATAATTCCAGCTCCGGGAAATCATCTCCCAATCTGCTTCGAGATTCCTGTCTCAGGTGGACAGATTGTGAAGCTGCTTGAAGACCCAAGTGCAGGTAGGACAGTCTTCCTATCCAGGATCTTTTCAATAAGTCCATTGATCATTTCCATCTGTCCTTCTCAGTCAGTCCACTGACTGCAGGTAAGACAGTCTCACAGTCCAGCAGTGGAACTTCTTGATCTGTCTGCCTTTGTTAGCACACTCAGTGTTTTCAAGATGAGGTTGCATGTGGGAGACAGGGCAGGGCAGAGGAGAGCAGACAGGCACATTCTGTCTGTGGGGAGAGTGCCCACACTCTCACGGATTGAGTGGATCTTATCAGTCTTTGATTCAGCCATTCGAAATCCTGAAATGATGGACCAAGTCGACTCAGGGGGCAACTTCAGGCTCGACAGCTGAGGAATGGAGGGTACACATGGAGGTTAAGATTCACTCCTGGCATTAATTTGGCTCTGGGATCATTAACCAGGAGCAATGAAATGAGCAAGATGGGAACCTCTTTTATAGGGACTAAAGCCCATAGCACCGGAGAGCCACAGTCCTGCGGGACATGAAAGGCAGCCTCACACAGACAGCCCCAATTGAGAAGATAATTGGACCAATTAGATCACGCTTACACGTGTAAGCCGTGTCAGTGAACGGATTTACGGTGCGGGGCTGTGAATGACGATGCCGTTGAGAGGGTTTAGGGTGCAGATGGGGGGACAGGAAGTTGGGATGTCAGCAGGCCCAGCTCTCCCAGAGGTGTCCTCAGGACCGAGCTGGATCTGCGGGCCTCTCCTCTCCTCTCCTCTGTTTCAGGCATCGTCGTCAGGGGGGAGGTAATGAGTAGAAGAGTCCGGGCTTTCCAGAAGCTCGGGATTTGGTACAACGAGGAGTTCCACATCGTGGCCACCCCATCCAGCGTCTCCCTGACCAACAACCACACCTTGACTGCCCGCTGGTGGTCCTGGCCCGCTGCCAACTACACGTCGGGCAGGTAGGCCGCTGATGGCCGAGAGCCCGCTGCCCGTGTGTCCGGCAGGCCGAGGCGAGAGACCCGGCCAGCCCCCGGGCACAGCGAGGGCACGAAGGGATTTCCCTGGCGGCCAGGTGCTGTAACGATGGGAGTGGGGGGCGACGCGTGGGGGGGCGACGCGTGGGGTCTGCAGAGCTCAGGGACCCTGGAGGACCACACACGTCCCTGTCCTTCTTACTGCTGCTGTCCGTCTCAGTGTCTCCCTGGCCGTGGTGGACACCGTGCTTGAAGTGACCTTGGGCAGCACCGTCCTGGAGGTCCTGCGACACCGGGTTCGACACAAAGACTTCCTGTGGCTGAAGATCAAAGACCACGCTTTCGGCAGCCAGGCCAGCGGTCTGACAGGTGAGCGGATCATCACAGCGGACCCCCGTGGGCACGAGCTCTGATCGCCGCCCTGGCAGGGCCGAGGGCTGGTCTGTACACGGGCAGCATCGTCAGGTCCCTCACGACAAGAAGCGTAATGCACTGGTGTTTATATCATACAACACACAAAAGACAGAGGCAAGAAGAGAGTGAAGACAGAACATAGGAGCTGAATGAATTCAATTCAACTGCAGTGGAATCATTCAGTCACGTTGAGACTAAGGCCGTACCTAGACAAAGACTACATCATGGTGTGCTGTTGGCGGTCAGAGGACCTCGTGGCTCTTACGTCCCGGGTTCGAGTTCCTGGGATCCTTCTGTGTGGAGTTTGCACGCTGTGCCCATGTTCATGAAGGTTTTCTAACTGAGGTCTGACCTGCCTTGGATCAGTGAGAAATGTGCTGATGTTAACTCCAGTGATGGTCTGGTGTGTTTCCAACCTCGTGGTGCTGCTGTCTGGTTCTGGAGGCATGGTGTGTCTGCAGCTTTTCTGGAGAGCTGGGAGCCCACAGTTTAACTGACAGGGTGCGGAGAGCCAGGTGGGGGACGTCTGTCCAGTGACCACTCTGTCCACTGTCCCTCACTCTGCAGGCGAGTTCGGTGCCAGTGTCTCTTACACAGAAACAACCACATCACCGACCACAGCCAGCATCAACATCAAAGGAGTTAGTCTGAACGCTCAGAGGTAAGACACCTTCCTCACTCTTTCTGGATTTGAAATCTCAGATCCAGGATGTTGAAACTGGAACTGAGACATAACTAGAACCTGAATTGATATACTTTAAACTTCACAAGGCATCGAGACTTTTTTTTTATTTAAAGGCCTTGGTCATTTTGTATTAAATAAAAAAAAATTGAATAGATGCATTTATTTGTTCGACGGACACCTTTATCCTGGACGGTTAGCATATATACTTGTTGCTGCCTTGGTGACGTGTGGTGGTACCCTGTGTTTTGTTTCCACGGTGACCTGCCGCGGAGCCCTGTATTCTGTTTCCATGGTGATGGTTTCTGCCTGTGTTCCCCCAGGATTTCCACAGCGGACTACGGCTCCCGGGTCAAGGCCTCAGAGGAGTGCTGGCTGTTGGAGGGCGGCGGGCGTGGCCTCCTGCAGCCGATGTCCCAGTACCTGGTGTCGGAGCTGTAGAGTGACCAGCCTGCCCTGGTCCGAGTCTGTCCGAGTCACAGCCGCCTGCGCACAGCGCTCCAGTCGTGCCTAATAAACATGCAAGAGAGACCTGCGTGCACTGGCTCTGTGGGTCTGTGGGGTCTGTGGGTGAGAGAGTGGGGGAGTGGCTCTGTGGGTCTGTGGGACGGGGTCAGTGAGAGTGGGGCAGTGGGTCTGTGGGGTCTGTGGGTGTGAGAGTGGGGGAGTGGCTCTGTGGGGTCTGTGGAGTGGGTGTGAGAGTGAAGGAGTGGCTCTGTGTCACACACTGCTTCTCTGAAGACAGCGGAGAACATTCAGCTAAAGCCCCTCTCTGACCTCTTGACACCTCCCTGCAGGAGAGACACTCACCCAAGAGCCAACTGATCTCCGTGTGCACGGGTTCGAGTCTGGGTCCCACCGGTAGCGGCCTGTGACTGGGCTTTCTCATGGGACTCGTGGGTGCAGTGCTGTTGGTGAGGGGCGCGCCTCTCCTCCAGCAGGGGGTCCACTCAGGTGTAACAGAACTGCTGGAGGGCAGTGATTGTTTCCCATTACCAGAGACTGGAAACAGGCCAGCTAGCGAACACACATGCGTGTACTTCCTCTCATCTCAGGTGTCAAGAACGTTCACACAGCAGAGAACTTTTTCAGCTACATTTTTTTTATTGGGAGCTTTGAAGAAAATTGCAGTTGTCTCAGCCGCAAAGGAAAAGGAAGCCCTACACACTCGTTTCCCCTCGGGCCCGGCCCGGCCCGGCCCGGCGCTCAGCTGCTCTTGAAGATCCCGGACACGATGTAGTCGGTGTGCGTGCCGTCGATCAGCCCCGTGCCGTTGTTGTGCACGAACCAGCAGGGCACCTCCTCGCCGTGCTTGGTGTCCCAGCGGTAGTCCTTCTGCCAGCCTCTGCAGGGACAGGAGAAACACTCTCCGAGGGCTGGTGCCGAATACCTGAGGGGCGCAGAGCTGCGCGACCCCTAACCCTGACCCTTAGGCCCATCGGGCCTTTCTTAACGGGCCTGAGCTGTGACCCATTACTGACGCTGCAGAATATGGGCTTGTCGATCACTTTCAGATCTTTTTTTTAAAAGAAAGAACTTTGCGTACAAACTGCCTAATTGGAGCCCTGGTTGTGTTCGTGTCTGTCATTAAGCCACTGAGAGGCAGGTTCAGTGAACAGGGCAGCACCCACACAGCCGGAGCTCTGTGCGCCTGAGAGTGCAGACTGAGCCCCGAGGCCCCAGCATGGCCGGTCTGAGCCAGCTGTGCCAGTCAGGGTCCTGAACAGGGCCGCTCAGCTGACCAGGCGCTGTCGCCCCCCCACACCCCCACCGTGCCCATGAGCCCGCAGTGCTCGGGCGCTGACTGTCCCTCCTGTCACACCGAGAGCAGCGTGCCAAAGGAGAGAGCCCGCTGTCTGTCCTCTCCCTGTGCTGGCGAGCCGACCCCAGCCCAGCAGCACTGGGTTGTGCAGGATTAAGAGCATGGGCAGAGGAAAATATCCGCTGATTCCAGAGAGAGCTGCATAGTATCACTGAGGGTGACAGGGGTAGTTCAGACACACAAGGTTTGTGTGTGTGTCAAGGTGTGCAAAGGAGGGTGTGTGGGAGTGCGTGTGCGTTTACCTGGTGACGCTGAGTGTCAGCCCCTTCACCTGCATGGTGGCGTCAGGCTTGTCCAGGGCCTCGCCGCTGTGCACGTCGCTGACCTCGAACTGCAGGCCGCCGTAGAACTGCCCTGCAGGGGTGGACAGAAGGGCGGCGCTGTTGAGCCGGAGCAGCCTGCGTGCTCTGACCTCGTGTAATCGGAGTGGGGGGGGGGGGATCTCACACAGGAAACCAGGGGGCAGGAGGTCAAAGCCTCCCCCTGCACGGGCCACAGGGTCCTCTGGCTCTGAGCCGGCCTGGACAGGCCTGCTCGGCCAGGGCAACGTTAAAGCTGGGGCCTTGGTCCTGTCCCAGACCCCCTCCTCCCAGCAGTTCTGATCAGGGACTCGCTGCGCCGGACAGAGACCCAGCAGGCGGCAGGGCCCCCGGACCTTACCCAGCAGGCCGTGGGTGGCCGGCGACAGCAGGTGGCTGTCCAGGGTGTAGAAGCCCAGGTAGTCCCGATAGAAGGGGTGCTTCTTCCAGACTCTGTGCAGGATGATGACGAAGGTGGCCGAGTCCTTCATGGCCACAGTGAGGCTCTTCTCCTTGCTGACCTGCAGATCGAAGCTAGAGGCCGAGGGAGCCGGTGAGAGCAGGGCCAGGAGAAACACACTGGAGCACCTCCAGGTTTGTCTTGGGCATCATACGCTTCACCTGGCTTGAGGAGTGGCAGCTCTGTGCTCCAGCTCATTCTCAAGCTGTACTGATCAAAGTAACTGTTCGCACCCCTGATCCCGGAGGAACACTGTGTCTGCACAGTGTCTGCACATCAGTCCAGCACTCACTGATGACTTAACAGATTGATTTGCTTAGACTTTTGTTTAACTTATCTCTTCAGTCAGTTCCGAGTGTCAAAAACACATTTCAAGAGCTCCAGCACACAGAACTTCACTTTGCCTCGTCTCAGAGTGCTGAACATTATTTCTCACTAAACAGCTCTTAGTTAAATGATAAGCGACGCAGGTGGGAATGACACTATCAGACATGCCCACAGTGGGAGTGGTGCCACATCACACGCGCCCCCATTGGGAGTGGCCCCATCTATGCCACACTCACAGTGGGAGGGGCCCTGTGTATGCCACACTCACAGCGGGAGGGGCCCCGTGTATGCCACGCCCACAGTGGGAGTGGCCCTGTGTATGCCCCACACACAGCGGGAGGGGCCCCGTGTATGCCACACCCACAGATTCCTTCTGCAGGCCTCATCACTTACACTACCGGCACTGGAATGAGGGCAGCTCAGAAACTTGGGAACCGGTATAGGGTTGGTTCTGACTACATATCCAATTTGACTGCTTAAGAGCCGAAAGTCAATTTACAAATATTGCTTAAGATAAACACAACGTTCCTCCGGGACCAGTGGGCCAGTGGGCACCAGGAGACCACAAGCAAGCACAGTAGACACAGCCGGTCTTTACATGTCTGGAGGTTGGGATTTGACAACAAAGCTGTTTTTTTTATTGGAACAAGTTAATAGGTTTATTCCATGCTGAAATAAAGAAGAAAGAGAACACAACGTTTCGGCTGTGGAGCCTTCTCACACCTATTTTCTTTCCTCTTTTTTTTCATGATGGAATAAACTTATCACTTGTTCCTTTACAGCCTACGCATGCTGACGCAGCGCCCCACCTGTTTTTTTATTGGTTTAGTTCCCAGATCGGGAAAACACTCCCAGAATGAACACCTACTCTTCCCTGAACAGATCTGTGCTTCACTCTAGGAGCTGTGCTGAGCTCACCTGGGCTGTTTGAGAGACACTGTGTCAGACCAGGAGAAAACCGCTTCTTTCCCGTTGTGGAACACGTGGATGGCCTGAGTGGTCACATCCACCTTGATGCCCAGACTCCGGCTGACGATGCCGAACCTCCCAAAGTACGTGTTGACCTTTCTGCTGGGGACAAGCTTCTTGTCCCCGATGGTCTGCCCGTTCACAGTGATGCCTGTGGGCCGGAGTCAGACAACACACAGGGGAGGGAGTCAGA